GTCCCAAGGCAGCTCTTAACCAACATGCCACTTGGCCGGCCCATAAAATTTTAAGTTTTATAAACCATGTAAATGTAAGAAACGCTTAGAAACAATGGGACACTGTGTGCAGGAGCTTCCCTTTGCACATTACTCAGCCTGGACCAAAAGGCAGCTGTGCCTGAGATGTGATCACAGCAGTCATACTTTACATATTCTGCTCTTGTATTCCTTGGTGGGTGTCTATGCAATTTAAGTGTACAGAGGCCTGGGGACTTCTAGAACTCGAAGCAGACTGCAGTTTGTCTCTTGCCCAGACTGTAAAATTTGTGAAATGTTTACTGCTCCTATTGCTTTTTTCAGTCTTTGCCTCTCCTCCTGTGTAGCATTTCCTTATTCTTTTTTGCATCAATTTGATTGTTTTAAAATTATGCTTTCAGGGAAAATCCAAATGTTGGATTCCTTCATGTTTACCTTAGGATTTCTGGTGACGGAAAATACGGTAAATCTGATGCTTCAGCAGGAGGTGAGTTGTAAAAACAAAACAGGTAACAGTTGGTTTAGAAATCTTGGAGAAGGTTATGCATAGGTCCCTGTTTTATTTTTGCCCCCATGAATGCCTTTTCCAACTCTGAACAGGCTTTGAAGACTTTGAACGGCATCTTGCATGCTGTACCTTGGGAAGAGAGAAAACAATTCTCCTTGTCAGAAGGCCCATGCCGTCTTATGTAAGTGAACTTGTACTCAATTATGTGGTGACATAAGGGCAAAATCCCTCTGTTCTACTTCAGTCTTTGTTCTCCTTAGGCCTGATTGCTTCATTCCTTTAGTATATTCTTTGTGTACCCATTACGGATCAGGCGCTAGGCTAAGTAGTGAAGAAGGACTGAGGAAAAAAAACGGACTTTACTAAGCTCTTCTTTTTTAGTAGGATGGGTTTTGTTTGTTTGTTTGTTTTTTTGCATCAAGTTTGTAAAATGTTTTCTTGGGCTATATATTATTTTTTCATTGTGAATGTGAACTAAATTAATTTTTCATAGGAGAATGTTGAGTACAGACCCTGCTGCTAAACTGCTTGGCTTCAAATCCTGGTTTTGCCCCCTTATATTCATTGCATTATCTACAGCACAATGTTAACTGCATTGCACCTCGGTTTGCTTGCCTGTAAAATGGAGCCAATGTTAATGCCTGACTGATAGAGTTATTGTACAGGTTGAATCAGACAATCCATTGAAAGTGAGTAGCACATGACCTAATAGAGGCCAAATACTCAAAGGTTACCAACTATTATATTAGCTATACCAACCGGGAATGGAATCTGTATTGCTTTTCAAGTGATGGATATTTTGTTTTTCTGGTGCCTCACTGTAATTATGTAGTTCTCGGGACATTGAAATTTGGAGGTAAAGTTGTAATATGTGGCCATGGAAAAAGCAAAACCGGCTCCCTGTTTTGAAATTTGAACCTAAACCTATGACTGTGTAGTAACCACTAACTAGCATTGATGGCATCATTGTGATACACAGTCATTCGTGTGACATGCAGCCATGACAGACAAAAGGAAGGGTGACTAAGTTTACCATAATGTAGGCCCGAAAGAGGTGACTGATGATCAGGGAGCTCATTGCTGTTGTGTTTGTCCATTTAACTTGTTTATGCTAGANTTATTTTTTGGTAATTTTATCAGTTATAGCAGGATTTCTCAACTCTGACACTTGGGGCCAGATAATTCTTTGTCTTGGGGTGCTCTCCTGGCCTTTATCCACTCAATGCCAATAGCAGCCTCTCCCACTTACCCAGTTGTGACAAACAAAAAATGTCTCCAGAAATTGCTAAGTGCTCCTTAGGGGGAAGGGAGCCAAAAATCACCTCTAGTTTAAAACCATTGAGTTGAAGTGTTTTTGGTATATAAAAAATAATAACTAGTTTAAATAGGGTAGAGTGATAAAGATGACTTATTGGCCTAGAAGTTAAAAAGTCCAGAGACAGGTGATTCAGGAGCAGTTTGGTTGTGGCTATGCTCCATTCTATGCAGTTCTTTCAATGCTGCCTTGATCAGAGGCTTATATTTGCTCTCAAGTTGGTCTCCCCTAATGGTTGTAAGATGGCAGCCAGCAATCAGAGCTTTGTGCTTTCTGGTTCACATCTAGGGGGAGAAACGTTCACCTTCCTCAGCCATCAAAAGAAAAGCCCTAGCTTTGCTTTGATTGGATGCCCACCCCCTTAATGAACCAATCACTATGAAAAGATGAATGGGATGTCCCAGCATAGCTTGAGCCAATCAGGATTCACCCCTGAAGCAAGTCAATCCCATCCAATAACATGACTGCTACATAACAGAGTACGGGGAAAGGATGATGGGAAGGCACCAAATAGTCCAGTACAGTTACTCTTTTGACTCTAGTCATTTTGTATGATTGTTATTCATCCATTGTACTTTTTTTGTCTTTATTTTTCTCACTTTTTTCTGTGTATTTGAGAACAGTTCTTAAGTTTTTCTTGGAAGCCATAGCTTTAATTCTGCTCTCATTGCTTCTAGTACAGACTTCAATTCTACTATCATGTCTTGCTTCCTTGAAACCTGTGAGGGGTGGTGACTTGCCTCTGCTTTTAGAGCTATATTTCTCTCTCTCTCTTTCTACTTTGTATTGCAGAGAACTATTTTTGTCTAGGTTTTTTTATCAACTGGCTGTCTGCTAGGTTTAACCAGTGGAAGGAAATTGAAAGGAGGAGAGAACAAAAAAGGCATTTTCCCCTCTCCCTTCTGCTGAGGTTTCATCTCCGGGAATGGTCGCATTGTCCCTGTGGCTCTGG